CTAGACATTCCTGAACGAAATATTCGTAGCCGGCATTACTGTATGCGAGTATTGCGAAATTGAAAATTTTTTCAGCATTCTTTGTATGAGGGAATAGAAAAGGATAGCGATCCTGATGGAGCGCAGACGTAAGGTCCGAATGTTTCCTGGTGGAGGGCAGCGGGAAATGGAGAGGAAATAAAGTCCTTGTGTCTCTTCGGTAAGACCTAGGAAAGCCATCATTATAATTGCCGAAATTTCTTTATTACGTAGTCAAGTCAATGGATGGGTGGTTGCATATTTTCTTTAACTTTGTGTAATTGATTCATCATGAATTTTCAAAATTCAGATTTTAAGAGGATGAAGTTGTTTCATCAGACGACTACTTTCGATCATTTTGCTCATATCTCTTTAAATCAAAATTTAAATTTTGAATCATATTTTCAGGTGTTCTTCACTCTACAAATCCTGTTGTACCATTAAGATCATTCCATACCTTCACAGTTTCTCTTTGAATTCTTCCTCCAGCTGAAGAAAGATCGACTAACAGAAGTAGTAGCACGGCTGTTTCCTAGAACATGAAGAAAAACAGAATTCGCTGTGGTTGGAATGTGCTTGACAGTTTACATAGCGAATGAATGAGATTGTTGCAAGGTCTATTCATGATGACTTTGGCGTTTTCAACCTGAAATGAATCTGAAATGAACAGGTGTCTTTGTTCGCTTTTGAGGAAATAGTATTGCCTATCTGACTGTCTTAGTGCCTGTACTCAACATAAGTTTGTTTTCAGAAACGAAGGCATGTCCATTAGTTTGTTCGAAAAGCTCGAATTGGCACATCAGGAATGCGTCGTTAGTTTAACGCAGCAGTACCGTATGAACCGGTATGGACGGTGTTTTATTTTCCAATTAACCGTATGTTGGCGCTATTGTAATTTCAGAGAAATTGGTAGTTTAAGTAGCGCTCTGTTTTATGGCAGCCAGCTTCGCTGTGCGAACGAAATGCTCGAAAGCTTGACTCTTGAACTCCAGCAGCCAGTAGACGAAAATATCCCTGGATGGATAAAGAAATGTTTGAGCACTGCTGTCAGTGATGCTGTCGTGTTTCTTGACACTTCTTACTCAGAAGACATGAGATGCGAAAATTTTGGCTCTGGGTGCTTGAGAAACGATGGAGAAGCTACTCTTTTGTGCCAAATTTGTGAACATTTTCTAAAGGTGAGTGATGGTAATAAAAAATTTATAGTTCGATATCAGGTGGACATATTCTTGATATGCTAAACGTATTATGAACTGGAGGTTTAATATCGTTGTTTCGTCTTACAGATACACTAGGTGTAGTCGAACGCTCTTCTTTCTTCAGTGCAATAGGTACTTGATGCAACTGTTGAGCTTTAGTCTTCTTGGTTGCTTTGATCCTGATGAAGGAGGAAATGAGATTTCAAATTTGTTGCTGATGGAGCTGATTTTATAGCTATATCTTGTTAATACCTGGAGAACACTCTGTTATTTTACAGATACTATACGCCAGTATACGAATAATGACAGATATCATACCTGAAAGAATGGTCAGGAAGTTTTGAAAATTTATTAATTGAACGAGATGGCTAAAAAACTTAATTTGCATAACAGTGCTTATAAAAAATACGTTGCAAATTAACTGGTTAACAAATAGTAGTACAACTATTACAAATAGAGCAACGCACAAAGACGTTAAAGGAAGTGTTTTAACTCGATTGTTGGATAATGTTCTCATGAGCTACAAGATAATCAAAAACTTTAATGTTCACATCTTTGTGAACATTGAGGAATCACACCTTAGATATCTGGAAGAAAGTTACACTATTATCCTCATACAACCTCGCTGGATGATCATTTTTTGGGATTGTGATATATTTTTTCAGATGGACGCTGTCGCACATTTTCCTTTTATTTCACTTATCCGTTGTTCAGACTTTTGTACGTTTTCTATAGCATTCAGGGTAATAGCGTTATACGGATAATGTTCGTCCTAGTTCCTTGAATAATTACTGTTTAAGGAAAATTTGTTTTGGACTGTGTACAATTTAAGATCATGCTCTAAACTAGAATAAAACGCAAAAAGGACATTCGCAAGACGTTCCTAGACCTGGCGAAAGCCTTCGATCGATATCAAACGCTAGACAATTTGGTAAAGCATGAGTAAGAAGCGCGTGCCTGAAAAATGTTAGACTTACGAAAGACAGAGACGATGGACAACGATGGTGCGAAGTACATGAGACGTAATAAATTGATTCCATTTGCTGGCAGGGGTCCATGAGGGTTCAGCACTGAGCCCGTTTCGTTTCTCGGTGGCGACACACGCGATAACTAAAGATCTGCGGGAAGCAGCTCCATACTTTATGCTCTATGGAGGTGACGTTGCGCTGAACAGTGAAACGAAAAAGCAGTGGGAAATCCCTAAGCTCGAAGAAAATTCCTTTTATATTGTCTTCGGCTCATAAAAGTGGGAACAAATGGTGGGTTATTTTGGTGGGAAACATGCGAAAAGCCAATGAAGCGGTGAAAATGACGGAGAGCATGTTGTATCAAATTCAAGATTCTTGATTCCATCCTTCAAGGCAAGGGGAAATCAATCAGCAGTGAATTAAGAAATCGGTCAAAAAAGCGTGACTGAAATAGAAAATGGAGCAAAGTTCTGTGCGACAACAGGATACAGGGAAAGTTAACGAGTACATGGCGATGGTAGGACCAGCACTTATTTACGGAATCTAATCTAGAAGGTACTCGAGCAACGTGTGAGCTCCGTAGAAATGCAAATGCTCAGATTAATGTGTAGTATCAGCATGAATGACCACATCCGAAACATCTTCATAAGATATACTTTAAGGTAGCACCAGTTATGAAAAAGCTTATCCGTAATCAGGCTCCTTGGTTCTGTCACGTGAAAAAAAGATTCGATAAATATAGTGGAATGTGACAGACGCAATGATACTACCGGGTAAGGAAAGAACAGGATAGCCGGAGTGTGAATGACGTAATGTCGTGAATAATGACATTAAGCTGCTAGGGGTAACCGAAGATTTGATAATGCCTGAATGAAAATTGTATAATTGTGTAAG